AACTGGCCTTGTCAAAGTACTTGCCGGTGTAAGCCATTCCACACGCGGCACCTAATCCTTGCCCAAGCGACCCTGTTGCCACATCAACAAACGACAGTCTTGGGGTGGGATGTCCCTCCAAGTCACAGTGACTTTTTCTCAAGTTCAGCAAGTCGGATTCGCTGACATCACCCACCTCTGCCCAAGCAGCATAGAGGATTGGAGCTGCATGGCCCTTGGAGAGAATGAACCTGTCATTGTCGGGATGTTCTGGGTCTGTCTGTTTATACCTCATCGTGTGGAAGAAGAGTACCGACATGATCTCGGCTGCGCTGCAACAGGACGTGGGGTGGCCAGAGCGGGAGGCACACGTGGCCCTGATGGAATGGATCCGCAGGCGGTTGGCCAGGTCCCGCAGCACCTGCACAGTGTCCGCATCGGGTTTGGCATCATCGTCGGCCATGGCAGCACTTTTGCTGCTTCCCGCAGAGCAAACGTTGCCTGACCACCAAGTGGCCGTTCCGTCACGTGACCGCCGCACCCCCTGCCTCCCGCTCGTGCTGGTAACGAGCTCAGTCAGCAACCGGCGAAGGCGAGAGCAGCCAGCGGGGATCACGCGCCTGGGGCCACACACTGAGTGGCCGTTCCGTCACGTGACCGCCGTTCCGTCACGTGACCGCCGCACCCCTTGCCCCCCGCTCGTGCTGGTAACGAGCTCAGTCAGCAACTGGCGAAGGAGAGAGCAGCCAGCGGGGATCACGCGCCTGGGGCCACCCACCACCTCGGGACCCTCTGCACGCCCCCGCTTCTTTCTCTGCAAATGACTCACCTTCCGAGCCCAGGTGAATGGATTTCCAATATTTACTTTGTTACTTGCATGTTCAACATTATTAAAAATAAATTTCTTTATACATTTCCTCATGTTATAAATTCAAAAGGGGGCATTCTTATATCCATGTTACAGGAAGCTATTTATGAGGTTGTGCTTCTGCATTAACGCTATATCCAAGACATCACTGTTTACAGCAGAGCCTTAATAGAAGTGATCCAAAGTCACTTCCTTTTTTTTTTTTTTTTTAATTTCAGTCACTTTCGATCTAACCTAGTATGGCAACGCAGACGTTCTCAGAGCAAAATTTTGATTTTGACTTACAGGAGAAACGAATCTGAAACCACTCAATGGCAGAATATCTAGAACTACAATTTTATAGGACACCCTAAAATACTATTATTGTTACTACAAATAATAATTTTAAAAACAGAATTAATTTACTTACTTTAGTTATACACTTTCGATCTAACCTAGTATGGCAACGCAGACGTTCTCAGAGCAAAATTTTGATTTTGACTTACAGGAGAAACGAATCTGAAACCACTCAATGGCAGAATATCTAGAACTACAATTTTATAGGACACCCTAAAATACTATTATTGTTACTACAAATAATAATTTTAAAAACAGAATTAATTTACTTACTTTAGTTATAAAACTAAATTTGTGCCATGAGCTCTTCTAGTGGGGAAGGGGTATAGCTTGTCATCAAAAACAAAAAACAAAAAAAAACCCCAAAACTCAATGATGATGTGTCATCTCCCGTGCTGCGAGATCTTGATTCTCAAGCAGTAGCATTGACTTCACTTTAAAATCATGACACTGAAAACAAAACAAATAAAAACAAAAAACAATACTGGGTTCCACCCCAGGCAAATTGAATTTGAATCTGTGGAAGTAGAGTCTGGGAAGCTATATTTTTTTTAAATGCAAGCAGTGATTCTAATGTGTAGTCAAAGTTAAGAGCAGATGATCATCTTCAAATAGACCAGTGGTTCTCAACATTGGTTGTACTTTAGCATCATCTGGAGAGTTTTTTAAAATTTCATGTGCAGGCTGCACTCCAAACCAATTAAATCAGAATCTCTGGGCGATGTATCTAGGCATCAATAAATTTAAAAGCTCCCCCAGACAATTTGAGAGTCCAATCAATCAAGTCGTAAACAACTAACTCATGGGGTCTTGTTACTCTTTATATATCTCTTACATTATATCTCAGAAAAATATTTTAAATATTATTTGCCATTTACGCTAGTTTGCATTTTTCAGGATACATATTAGAATAAACCCTAATGGTATGACACGAACAAGATTTTAAGTCTTGCCGAAGGAATGTTGGAATAGGAAAAGTCCTTAAGAGGTCATCTTGTATTCATTACTCCCCATGCCCTTTGCAAATTAATGTTTGCTTATCCTTTTAGACAAAGGAAGAGAAAATAAAAACAAACTAGAGTTAGACTGGGAGTAAAGATGGCAATTAGAGAAAAAGGATATTCAGAGCATAATAATAGCAAAACTACTAGTGGCTTACAGGAAAACACTTAGTATGAACACTGGTAGCTCACTGTTATTTTGGCTGAGGAGAGCTCTAATAAATCCAAGTAATTGGTAAACATGATCATTTAAAAATGATGTATGAGGCAGTGTTCACATGAATAAAAGATAGGAGAAATAGGAACTACTTCACATTTCAAGTTCCCAAATTCTTCCATTCATTTAAAGTATTGCACAAGTGTTTCCCAAAGTATTAAATAAAAAGTTTTTTCACATTAGTAAAGGTCAGTTGTGTTAAGAAAGGAATGTGGTATTGGAGATTTAATATCCTAGATAGTGAGTATGAATTTTCCACTATCATTCTAGGAGACTGTGTGGAATTTTTACACTATAAGGACAACGATATTTTATAAATTATCTGTAAAATATTTCAAAGTGTTGTGAGATATTTTTAAAGGGAAGTATGAAGTTATATAAAAGTTACTAATAATATTTCCTTTAAACATATTAGCCTTTTAGAATCCATTTTAAAACATACAATAAAAAATAACCAAATAAAGTGTGCATAATTTGATAATGCAAAATTATCCAATGTGGCTGTGATCACAACTTAGTCAAATAAATCAAAGCCATAAAAACACATTCTATTTCCCCCATTTAGAAGAGGCTATCACTGACAAAAGGCCAGCCAAATATTTTTAGGTCAACATGCTCAAAATTTAGTTGTCTTGGAGAAAAGTCCATTAACTCATTTTAGAGGTCATATTGGAAGATAATCAAAAGTTTTCTGCAAATGGGAAGAAATTATTCATTTATTAATTTTTGTTTATCCACACAAAGTTGGGTATGGCAAACTCAAGTACCTACTGAGCTAGAGAGGTACCATGAGTACATGAATGTCAGATATTATGTAAGAGGGTTGGAAGGTGCCTGTGACAAACTGGAGAATACAATCCTATGTAGACATTCAAAACTGAAAAATTTGTGAACACATTGTTAGCAAAAAAAGATCCATAAAATAAAACATATCTGCCAGTTTGATCCTTGATTTAAAGTCTGTTGAAAATAAACGCTTTTTTTTTTAATAGTATGGAAAAATGTTTATTGTAGGGTGTGCTTCAAATAAAAATAACACCTAGCAGGATCACTAATACAAATAGCTATGAAGGGAAAAATATAAATTGCAGGTATTGGTAAGTGCAATTTCTACTGTGTTGCAGTACAGAAAACAATACACATAATGATTACTCAGGAGATCTACAGTGATTTATGAAAATACATACATTTGCTCTATAAGGGTGAGTTATATTTAGAGATTGAGAATACTAAAGTTACACTTATATTTTATCTAAATTATTGTTTTGTTAAAATATTATTAAAGAAAGGCACAGGTGCCGAGTTCATTTTTTTTTCTTCCATGTCTTGAATTTGGTTAGTTTAGTTGGCAGAGTATGGAGTAAGTAAGGGTAAAATTCTTTTGAAAGACAATAGGTTTCTTGGGGGAAAAAATGTATTCTTGCAAGCACTGGAAACAGTATTCTAAATAGATCTGCTAGGCCAAATTGTGTTGTGGTCAAGTCTTCTAAATCATTTTAAATCTTTATCAGTTTTTTTCTATTAATTACTAAAAAAAGGTAATTTCCCACCAAGGCAGTTGGTTTTTCTACTGCTTGAAATTTTATCAATTTTCCCATTGTATATTTGGAGCTATCTTACTAAGTACACGTATATATCAAATAGAAACTTTTTATCATTATGAAGTGATCTTTTCTACCATAATACTTTTTGATTTACAGTCTATTTTGTACATTAATATATCTATACGAATATTCTTTTCATTCATATTCGCTTAGCACATCTATTTCTTTGATTTTTAATTTTTCTGTTTCCTTATATTTTATATATGTCTCATAATCAGGGCAGAGTCATATGTTTTAAATCCAATATGACATGTTAGTTTTTAAATTAGGGCACTTAGTCCATAATTATTGTTATATGTATTTAAATCCATCACCATATTTTTCTTTTCCATTTTCCCTAGTCTTATTTTCCCCCTTTATTTCCTTGCTTTGAATGATCCGAGTGTTTTCCAAATTATTCTGTTTTCTCTATTTGTTTGTATCCTATTCAAAGTTACACTATTTCTGTTATTTTAATGGTCACCCTAGAAATTAAGCATGCATTCTTATTTTATCAATACATAATGTTAATAAATACTTAACCATTATACACAAACACACACCTCTGTGTATTTGTTAAAGCACAGGGAAATATCTACAAACTACAGTAGTTATTGAGTGCGGGGGTGTTGGATTGAAGAGGAGGACGGGGTGGTGGGTGGTCATTTTGTCATTTTTGAGCAGTCTGCCCTGGAAGGGGCCAGCCTCTGCGAGAAAGGGGCTCCCAGGAGGCGAGCCTTATTCAGCAGCTCCGGATCTGTGCACCCGGGCGGATGCTCAAGATCCAAGTCCGAGCCTGGGACGCTACCGGGCTGGAGCTCCAGGCGTCTTTAAGCACAGCTCAAAACCCCGCCTCGCACTTGGCGCGGGGCCAAGTTCACCCTCCCGCTCCATGCTCCCCCTCCCACCTTGTCTTGCGGCCTCGCAGGGAGTCTGCTCGCTGGTTACGGCTTAAACGTCCAACTCGGGCGAAAAAGACAAGGGCTCGGTTCTCCCGGACGTTTTAGAGAAACGTACTCGTCCCTCCTCTTCCGGTCGGCTCCGCCCAAGCTCCTTCGGCCCCACGTGTGTTTGGGCAGGAGTCCCACGGTGAGCTGCTGGTTCTGCTGGTGGTGAGGTTGCCCGGCTCTGGAGTGCAGAAGCTCCCCCCGGGGCTGCGGGGACGTCACCATGGTGGGGCCCGCTCCCCTGAACCCGCTTGTCTCCCTGGAAGGCTCCCATCCGTCTGGGGAGGCGGGAGAGGGAGGTCTTGGGAAGCTGGGAGAGAGGAGGATGCGAAGTGATTATACTGGGCTGCACACAGGGGTTGGGGGGCTAGGCAGCTCGAAGGAGGGGCCCGGGCCCAGCGTCCGGACCATCAGTTTCAGATTCTTAGTTCTGAAGTGCTCACAGGGCGCCCTGCCACTTTTCGTTTCGTGCCTAAACTTCCCGGCCTCTGGTTCCGCTCCGGGGAAAAATCCGCACCTTTACATTTTTCGCTACTCACCAGTGTAGGGGGTTGCAAGGAGTCGGCAAAACTCGTGGAAGCGCTTCTTCCATACACCTGTGCCTCGCTTCTACCGGTATAAACAGGGTGGGTTCAGTCGCCTCTTCGTTGGCGTCCATTCACCACCCTCTAGTGACCCACTCCCGCCCCAAATCTTGCCTTCACGTCTCCTATTCCCATAAGGGCACTGAAACTGTATTGTTATTTTTATTAAAAATTGAG